AACGCCCTTCCAAGGGCTGTATTGGTAGGACGGCAGGCCAGAGTGTGTTCCAAGCAGAAGGAGCATGAGACACAGTCTTGGCCTGGAAGATACCCTGGCCCAGGAACAGGCGGGGCACCCAATAGGAGGCTTGGCACTGTCATCTTGATACCCATTCAGGGACACTGGAAACTCAAAGCCAGGTTGAATGGCCTGGTCCCACCGTTTGTAAGGAAGGAAGGAGCTTCGAGCCTGTGACGGGTTTCCTGGGGACCCCCTGTGTGGCCGTTGGAGAAGACATCTGCTGGACATGGAAAGGCAGGAGCCATAGAGCTGAAGAAACACTTGCAAAATTGCAGGGACAGGGCCAACGCCAGCCAACTGAGAAGGGACGCACGAGGGCTCCAGGAGAGCAGTGAGCCGAGCGTCAGCAGGTTGGATCAGGCACCTGCAGACCTCTAGGCAGGGTTGTCCACCGATGGACCAACATTCATGAGAGTTAGGCTGAAGGTCCAGAAAGGTAGGTGTGGTCAGATCTCTGTGCCAGCAGGCACACTGGTCCAGGAAGAGCAGAGGCCCGCAGAGAACCCTGAAGGGCCACAGGGCTTTGGGCCTGGGCCCAGGAAAGGAAGCCAAGGCAGAGTGCATGGCGGATGGTAGGAGGAAAGTGGGAAGCCGGTTGTGAGGCTGGGGCATGGGTGGCCATGCGGTGCTCCTGCCTGTGACATGGCTGGGCAGGGCCCCTGGATGTGGCCATCTGGAGGTCACCCTGTTTTAGTTAAGTCCCCAGGGGATTGGACTGGAACAGTGAGGGCCAGAGTTCTGGAGCTACAGCGAAGACTCTTCCGCTGACTAGCAGTGCTGTGGGAGAGGAGATGGCAAAATTAGGTTTGGTAATGTATTTTATTTAACCCAGTATATCCAAAAAGTTACCATTTCAACTTGTAATCACAGTCGTTTAAAAAACCAAGGAAGGGCTAGGAGTACAACTTAGTGGTGGAACACCGGCCTGGCATGCATGAGGCCTTGGGTTCATTTCTCAACACCAAAAACAAAAAAACTGCCAGAGCCTCTCCCTGTTGGTGCTGAATCTTTGAAATGTGCCATGTGTTTTGCGCAGACAATGCAGCTCAGCTGGGTGGCCTGTGGTATGCTCAGGGGGGCCTCTGTGGCTTGTGCTGCTATCCCAGACCGGGCAGCCTTAGGTGCTGGCTGGAGGTGGGCACCATCTGCCCTAGTAGGCATGGGTGGCTTAGGAGCTCAGAGGCGTTGAGTCTGGGTGCTGCAGGAGCCCAGCTCTTGGCCACTCGCTATCCTTGTTGGCTTTCTCCTTAGTGACAGATTTCAGATGGTGCAGAGGTGCCTAGCCTGTGGTTTGGGAGGTCTGCCTGGCCTACTAGTGAACAGCAGTGTTTGAGCAGTGCCGGGTCAGTACAGGGGTCAGGCTGGACCAGTAGTGAGGCTCAACACCTGTGTGCCGAGCAGGAGCCCCCAGCTGTAGGGCTGGCTGCCCGAAATGCAAGACTGGGGCTGCTCTACTTAGGAAGCAGAAGGGGGCAGGTATGTCCCTAAAATGTTCACCAACACCTGTCGGGAGATGTGTATGTCAGGTCACAGCCAGAAGCAGGAAGGGCAGAGAAGGAGGATGGGAAACCAGATCCCAAACAAGCAGCCATTTGGGGCCCAAACCCTGTGGCAGGGGAGATACTGTGGAGTGGAGGGAGCACAGGCCGCAGCGCCAGACAGCCCTGGTCCATGGCCTCGACTTAGCCTCTCTGATCTTCCATCTTCAGTTCTGTGACGGAGGGACTATGGTTGGACTGGGATGGTAATAAAAACAGATGAGCCAAAGAAAAGGAAATACAACAACACAGTCGTGTCTCATAGTCATCGTCCTGAGAGAAAAAAGCCATGTCTCCTGCAGCACTCAGACTCACCGCCTCTGAAATTCTAGAACAGCAAGACAGAATGTATCATTGGTGGAAATCAGATCCATTGTCGCCCAGTGGGGAAATGATTGGCAAGGGGCAAGAGGCATTACTAGAGGGAGTTCCTGAAAGCTCAGGCAATGGCTGCCTGAGAATTGCACATTTATTGCATGCAAATTTTACCTCAGGAAAACATATTAAACAAATACCAGGCTCTGGTTAATGACTTCCGTGTTGGAGTGATTAGGGAGAGAAGGATGTTGATGTCTGCAGTCTGCTTTGAGGTGCATCTAAAAAGGACTGTGGATTGGTGGATGGGTAAACAGATGAGGATGTACACGACAATCAAGTGCAACCAGCTCAGAGGCCCTCACCTGTGATCCCAGCTACTCCAGAGGCTGAGGCGGGAGGATCATAATTTCAAGCCTGCCAGGGCAACTTAGCAAGACCCCATTTTAAAATAAAAAAGGCTGGAACCAAAAAAAGAAGAGGAGGAGGAGGAAGAGGAAGATGGTGGTGATGATGAGTGACTCAAAGAGGGGGCAGCAGATTGGGGGAACAACCAGGAAGGAAACACCCAGGGTCCTGCTCCAGTATCTGTGTCTCCATGGTCTCATCCCTTGGTGACTGGACCAGTTGTCTATACGTGTGGCTCAGTGCCATGTCATCGCAGTCGGAGTCCAACAGTTACGTTGTCAGCGGTTCTACAGGGTATGCTGTGCTCCCTGCCCTGGAGAGCTGCTCTCCATTTGTATCTCTGGGTAGCTGCTACAGGGGCACCTTTTTGTCCTTCCCCCGGGGTTTTTAGTTGACTCCACTGGCAGAGGAGAACACAAGGCTCTTACACCCCTCATCCCCAGTCCTGCCCCTGCACCCTGTGACAGGAGGGAAGGATGAACTGCACTGATGGCTGCTTGCCTGTGCCGTGTCTGCTTTCCTGGACTTGATGACCCTCTCTGTTGCTCTTCCACCTTCAGCCCCAGACCTCTGCCTCAACACATTTGGACACCCCAGGTGGTCTGTTTTTTGTTGCTGAAATCTCTCCTGGGTCCCATCGGCAGGCTACAATCTGGCCTGGTCACCCTCTGCCCCACCTCCTTCTTGATGGAGCCCTGTCTCCATCAAGGGGGTGCCTCTGTTTTGGGGGGGTATCCTGCACTTTGTTCCAGAGGAGAGGCTCACAGGAAGTAACTTTTGGAAATACCGACATCTCATTGACCTTCACCCTCAACCTGGCTGGTTATACCAGGTTGGTGTCAGTTTCCATTAGAATTTTGAAAGTCTTCCCCATCAAGCCCTTGCTACCAAGAAGATTGACGCTGTTCTGACCCCTGATTCCTGGTATTGGACCTGTTCTTGCTCTCTGTAGTTGCTAGCTCTCTTTGTTCCTGGTGTGCCTTAGCGAGGACCTGTTTCCATTCCATGTGCTGGGCCCACCTCACACAGCCTGTCTGTCCCACCTCTCTGTCCTCTCTGTTGGGTTTGCTCTCACTGGGATTCTTCCTTGCTGGTGTGGGCTTCCCAAACTGCCTGCACTCTCCGTAGCTTTTCCCCCCTATTTTTCATCTCATGCTTTTGTCCACTTTCTCAGTGGTATCTTCCTTGTTATTTTTCCAGCCTTTCTTTCTTTTTTTTTTTTTAAGTTGTCGATGATCCTTTATTTTATTATATGTGGTGCCGAGGATCAAACCCAGTGCCTCCCCCCATGCCAGGCAAGTGCTCTGCCACTGAGCCACAGCCCAGCCTCTCCTGCAGCCTTCTGTCAGGTCATTTCCATGATCACACTTCAGTTCCTGTTATTGTTTCATGATTGTAAAGTCTTCTCTTTTGTCTGAGGATGTTTTGTTTCTTTGTTCTTTTTAGGGATAATGACAGAGAGTGTACTTGACTCAGAGTCTAACTCATCGTGGGTAGGCTGCATTCTGTGGTTGTACGTGATATGGGGCTTGCTGGCTGAGCATTCCTGTAGGAACGTGGGACCTGAGGAGTTTTTAAAGTTTCTTCTCCCCTCCTGATTTCCTTGTCCCCCATCACACCTGCTTTGTCTCTTCTTAGTCTTTTTCATGGCAGACACTGACTCTCTTTAGATGTTGTCGATCCTTGGTTGTAAGAGTGAGGCACAAAAGGGCTAACCTCTGCGGCAGAGGGCTTTTAGCATGCAGAACAACCTATCCTAAGAAACACTGCCTCCTCTAGGATGTTGGGCTCTGGCTCTCGTCTCTGATCTGGAAGGTGGCAGTTCCTAGAAGAGGACATGAGTGCTCTTCCCTGCGGCAGTCCCCTCCTCTCTCACTTTTGCTTTTGCTTTTTTTTTTTTTCCCCCCAGCACTGAGGATGGAACCTAGGGCCTCTCAAGCACTCTGCCCCACCTAGCTGCACCCCAGCCTTTTGTAATTTTAATCTTGAGACACGTTTCACTAGTTGCCCAGGCTGCCCTGGAACTTGTGATTCCCTGCCTCAGCCTCCTGTGGGGCTGGGATGACAGGTGAGCACCAGTGGCTCCTTCATCAATCTTGAGTGACTCATACCCAGTGGGTAAAATGAAGACCCAGAGAGGCATGTGTGCGCCCCAGTGAAGCTGCCAGAACGTGGGCTGGGGTAATGTGGTTAGTGCGTGCATCGCAGGCATGAGGCCCTGAGTTCCATCCCCATCACCACAAAAAAAAAAAAAAAAAAAAGCTGCAAGAACTGGAAAGACTGACAACAGAGTCCCTTGCTGACCTTATGACCTTAGAGAAGCTGAGTTCATAGGTCACCTCCAGGACCTTTCCCTTCCGGGCTTCACTTATCTGGTAGGCCAGCCAAAGCTTGCCTGGTGAGCACACAGGGAGCAGAGTCTCAGGCTGGGATTTGTCAGCATCTGCCACGTGGCACATCACCCCAGTGGTGTCTGGAGCTGAACAGAGGTGGCCGTTGTCTTTGCAGCCCCTGCTAGGCAGGAGGCCTGCCTGGGGGTCGTCCTCTAGCACATTCCCTGCAGTCAGCAGATGCGTTTTCTTGCTGGGTTCTGGAATCACATGTAGGACCAAATGTGAAGGCCTGGGCACACCCTTTGACTGACCTTAATACAAGGCTGTTCACGCTGATAACTGGTTTTCAAGCTTATCCAAACTAGGAGGAATAGACCAGAAGCAGGAAAAGGATCTGCTACAGGGAAAACACAGAAGGACTAAAAAGACCAAATAGGGGGCTGGGCTGGGGCTCAGCGGCAGAGGCGCAAGTGCAAGGTCCTGGGTTTGATCCTCAGCACCACGTAAAACTAAATAAGTAAAATAAAGGTATTGTGTCCAACTACAACTAAAAAATAAATCTTAAAAAAAAAATTTAAAAGACCAAATAAAAGAAAGTATAACTACCACAGGGGCCAGTAACAAAGGACCCCACAAACCTACACTCCTTAGTGGCTCCTGAGGTGACAGCATCAGGGTGAGACCCTGAACTCCAAAGGAAAATAAAGTTCAGTATTTCACTTTTTTTGAGGGGGGTGCTGGGAATTGAACCCAGGAGTGCTTTACCACTGAGCCACATCTCCAGTCCTTTCTATTTTTTATTTTAAGACAGTGTCTCACTAAGTTACTGAGGCTCACACTTGCAGGCCTCCTGCCGCAGCCTCCCAAGTCTCTGGGATAACAGGGGTGTGCCACTGTTCCTGGTTGTGTCCACACATTGTAAGTGGATTAAAGGAATGAAAAGAAAGGGAGGGAGGGAGATAACATTACAGGGAAAAGAAAAGGCAGCCCAGGGGGCTCCACCCACCACTTGCCAGGCAGAGCCGTCTGGACTGGGGGTCCTTCCAGCTAGGGTCTTCCCAGTGTGGCTTACGCTGTTGCTTGGAAGCTTGCTGGCCAGTGACTTGGTGCTGCTGCCACACGCCTCTGAACTTGTCTGCGTCCTCAAAGTAATCTAGATAAACTTAACCTTTGTGAACTTCTCACCGGTTCCTTTGTTCCACCTGAGTTAACTCACATTCTGGCTGGGGGAAATGTGTGTAGGGGTGTGCCTGTTTGTGAGGGATTGTGTTTTGTGCTACTGTGTGTGTACACACACGTGTTGAAGCGCCTCGTGATAAAGATTTATCCTGTTAGAAATTCGAAGAACTCTGGCTCCAGCCCACACGGTTGAGCTCCAGGCTCACTCTGACCAGGACAGGTCCCATCGCCTCTCAGCATCCTTTTGATCAGTTCTCTCCTGTGAGGGAGCTGGGCTTCACTGTCATCTGGGTCCCTTTTGGCCCAGTATTTGTGAGCCCTAAATCACAGAAGAGCCAGCCTGTTAGTAAGAGATCGTTTTCTCTCCAGCCTAGAGGTAATTTAACTGTCCTCCCTTTTCAAAGTATTGTTGGGATCTCAGTCGTGCTGTCCTCTGGTTGCTAATTCATTAAGCTGTAGGAGCAGTGGAAATGCAGAGCGTGGTCCCATTCTTGGAGCAGGAGATACCCAGGCCCAGGGGATCACTGGCCCTAGGAAGGAGCCTGTTGGGAGCCACTGGAGCTGGCAGGTAGGCAGATGCATGCTGGTGCCCATGATCAAGGCAGCCCCCCAAGGAGGAGCCCGAAGCCATCCTGCTGACACCAATGAGGGGCCAGGGCTACGTGAGGCCTTGGACCAGGCAGCATAGCCCTGCCTGTGGTGCCTGTGGTTCAGTAGATGCCAGGGGAAATGGTCTCCAGTGAGAGCCACCGGCTGGGACCACATCCGATCATGCCTTGCCACCGTGCCTACTACAGAAAGGGGCAGCAGCAGCCTCTGGACAGTGTCTGTGGTGGGTAGAGTCCCTTCTCCTGGCAGGGAGTGCCAGGTTTGCCTGCACTGCTAGAGCTGGGTCACCACATACTGTCCACTGACTCACAGACAGGCTGGCCCTGTCCAGGGTGGACCATCTCCTCATAGCTCCCCTTGTCCAAATGAAGCGCCTGACACTCAGACAAACTCCTAGACCCGAGAACCATTTCTGTGGTCCAGGCTGCTGCATGCACCTGGAACAGGGCCCTTTCCACAGCTCTGGAGAGTCAAGGGCACACTGGGCCCTTCACTCTGCGTCCAGACAAGATCACAGAGGTTCCAATTGAAGATTCTGAATAATGGAAAAGAGCAGTATCATGTCCTAGACCTTGGTGTCTCAGGAGAAGGGATGTCTGCTCTGCTTGCTCCTAACTGGCACCCCTCCTGGAGCCTTGCTTCTAGGGAGCATGGGGCAGCTTCCTGTGTCCCCACAAGGTCTTATTTAAAGGCAGCTTTACAGCTACCAGCAGCCCCTTGATCTGTGAACATCTAAGTAGTTGATGGCTATAATTAAATAATTCAGCACGCCCAGAAAGAGGACCTGGCTCCCTCCCACCCGCCCTGTAACCTATCTTTAAGGCATACTTACAAAACACAAGCCCAGGCGTGCGTGGGCCTGTGTCTGTCCTACCCTCTCCCACTTTCCCTCTTCCCCCTTTTCTCAGCTTACCACACTAGACACGGTTCTTAAACCCCTTGTTTGCTCCATTTTGTAAGTTGTGTTCTTTATTCCTTTTTTGCATTTCTATGAGTTTTTTAATATGAATAAGCAAAATTTTAGCTGCTTTTTTTGTTGTTTGTTTTGATACTGGTGATTGGTCCCAGAGGTGCTTTACCATTTACCACTGAGCCATACCCCCAGCCCTTTTTATTTTTTATTTTGAGACAGGGTCTTGCTAAATTACTTAAGACCTTGCTTTGTTACTGAGGCTGGCCTGGAACTTGAGATCCTCCTGGCCCAGCCTCCGGAGTCATTGGGATTACAGGTGTATACCACCATGCTGAGCATGCTTGCTTTTTCTTTAATTGAAATTTTGTCTCCTTTGGGACAGTGAAAAGACTCTGAAGGGGCTGAGGTTGTGGCTCAGTGGTAGAGTGCTTGCCTAGCCCTGGGTTCAATCCTCAGCATCACATAGAAATAAATAAATAAAATAAAGGTATTGGGTCTGGGGTTGTGACTCAGTGGTACAGTGCTCGCCTAGCATATACAAGGCTCTGGGTTTGATTCTCAGCACCACCTAAAATAAGTATTTTAAAATAAAATAAAATAAAGGCATTGTGTTCAACTACAACTAAAAATAAATATTAAAAAAGGGCTCTGAAACCAGATAGTATTGATGATTATGCAATTTGTGAATGTACTTGATGTCACTAATAGCAGAATTTGTATTCTGTGCATTTTACCACGATTTATAAAAGAAATTGAGATGATTATAGATTCATGTGCATTTGTAAGGAATAATAAAAGAGTGTGCTCGGAGCAAGGGGCCTGAAGAATGTTCCTCTGTTTACAACAACCCAACTGGGGTCTTTGTAAGGAAGGGCACAGAACTTATGGCTTCCCTACCAGCAAATGCCCCACATGTGCACCCCTGCATCTCCATATGTGGTTTCTACACAGGATCAGTAGGACAGGGCTCAATATTTTGGGGAAAACTGCAGTATTTAGCGGGGGAGGTGGCCACCTAGAGCCTGTCCAGTTTATACATGGGAGATCCTAGAAATAAAGACTTTGAATCTTTAAGAAAAAAAAAAAAAAAAAAAGCCAGCTCAGTGGTCAAGTGTCCTGGATGTAGTCCCCAGTCCTGCAAAACATATAGAAAGAAATAATAGAAGTCCCAAGAACCCTTAGCCCAACCCCTGGTGGTAACTGCACAACCATGGCTCGTCTGCCTTTTCTTTCTTTTTTTTAGTTGTAGCAAAATAAGCTTTTTTTCCCACCCCCATACCAGGATTGAACTCAGGGCACTTGACCACTGAGCCACCTCCCCAGCCCTATTTTGTTTTTTACTTAAAAGAGACAGGGTCTCACTGAGTTGCTTAGCGCCTTGCTTTTACTGAGGCTGGCTTTGAACTTGCAAACCTCCTGCCTTAGCCTCCCAAGCTGCTGGGATTACAGGTGTGCACCACTGCGCTGGCTAAAATACACATTTTTTTATTTATTGCACAAGAAAAAGTGAGGCACCTGGACATTGGCCATGCGTTGGTGGTTGCCGGTAGCCTCAGTTCCTCCTCAGCATCAAGATCAACCCTGGGCTGGTCACTGAGTGGACAGAGGGAACAGACATGGCCTCTGCCCTCAGGGAGCTTGTGGTGACGTGGGGGTCCCCACTGCAGGCTGGGAAGGTGATGTGGTAGAGTCATGAACGTGGGTAGAAGCTTGCCAGGTGACCTTGGGCATATGCAGGGCACATGTGCCACGATGGCACGATAGGCCACAGAGACAGGCCCTCAGCATGGGGCTGCCCCAAGCCAGGAGTTCTGTGCGTTCTGTTGGCAGGGAGACTAGGAGCACTGCAGCAGCAAGGCATGCTGTCCCCTGTGTCCTAGCAGGGCTGGCAAGGAGAAGGAGGGCAGGCCATGGGAGGGAGGAAGGGGCATCTTATTTCAGAGCCCTTTCAGAGGGGATGGAGAAAAAGAGAAGGGGCATCTGACCTGGGTCTGCCTGATTATGGGGGACGTCCCCTGCCACCTCCTGTTGTCCTTCCAGTGCCTCCCGCAGACAGTCCCACTTCCTTCTTTCCTGTCCTGCCCCTCCCCTGCATCACAGCCGTCCCTTCCGTCTGTCCGGTTGTCCATGATACACTACCCAAAAGTCAGTGGCTTCCACCAACAGGCTGTTACGTTCCATCTGCATCTCTGGCTCAGGACAGGGGCGGAGCCAGCAGGAACTGCTCCTCTCTGCTCCAGTTCTGGGACTCTGGCAGGTCCTGGGAAGGTGACTTCCTGGGACGCAGAGAGAGTGGGCTCCTCAGCCTCAGGCCTCATGGCAGCTCAGGCTGAAGGCTGGCCACCTCTGCCTGCTATTCAAGCCAGGCATGGCCCACCTGTACTGCTTCCCTTGTGGCCTGGTGGTCAAAGAAGGTGCAGCCCAGGTTCTAGGGAACAGGCCTCAGATTTGGTCTCTCCGTGGGGCTGAAGAATTCATAGCCACCCACAGCCTGTCGTGCCAGGTCCATAGGGGCCGAGGATGCTTTCAGTGTTTGTCCTCAAACCTGTGGGTGGGCTTTATCCCAAGCACACAGCACATCCTGAAGCCGTGGCGTGCTCTCCTTTCCCCGGGGTGGTGGTGTTCAGCATGGGCCAGGCATGTAGGTGGTGCTCAGGGTGCTTGGGGGCACTTCTGCAGGCCTCTGTGCTGTTGGGCCGGCAATGCGTCCTCATGTGGCCAGCCTCTCCCCTCCCTTTGCTGGAGCCCTTCACTCTTTGTAGAATTGTAGCTGGACCTAGAACAACCCTCCCCCAATCTGCATCTCTGGACTCCAGGGCTAAAGTGTAGAGTGAACAAAGTTGAGAGAATGGCCCTTGTGCAGTAGATCCCGGTCCAACCAGCACCGAGGGCCAGGAGTCAGGGCAGGCCAGGGTTCTCTGTGGCTCTGTCTATGGTCCAGGGGCATTCTGTCACCAAAATAGAGCAGTGACATGTGTGGCATATAGTTATCCTTTGACCTTGCCAGTGCATCTGGGGGTTGACCTTTGAAGGTGACTGGGTCCAGGGCTGCTCTGGTGTATGCCCACCTCCCATCTGACCCACGGGGACTGGTTTGGTAGCATGGGCAGTAAGAACCCACAGCATAAGCACCGCAGTCCTCCTCAGCCTTCCCTCCTTCCCACCACCCCACAGCAGCCCTGTGTCCTCCAGGCCTCAACCCTAAAGCCACCTCCTCACTAATGCCAGTGCAAGGAGCTGCCCCCCCTACCCAGTCACTCTCTCCCCACTCTCAGGATCTGAGGTTGGCCTTGTCTCTCCTGCCCCGTGTCCTGCCCCCCACACAGCGATGCCCCAGTGCCTGGTGTCTGTGGACCCAGAGAGCGCGTGGAGCAGCCTCAGCTCCCCTTGACATGGTTGCACATGGAGCCTGTGCTGGTGCCACTGTTATGAGGGACATCTGTTTCCTCCGTACTCTTTTGGATGGTCATAGTATACATGTGACCTGAGCTGATGGGCATTCAGCCAAGAGGTGGCATCCCTGGGACATACTGGAGCTGGCTGATAGGGAGCCACCTGAACTGGTGTGAGCTCATCATAAGAGGCCGACCTGGGTGGGAGAGGAGGCGGTGAGCTTCCTGTTCTGGGAGCGTGTCACGAGTGGCCTGCAAGATGCCAAGCCACGCAGCAACCTCAGTCCCATCTGGCTCTGAGACACTAAACCTGAGTTATTCAGAGAAACAAGAGGCAGGCGAGGCCAGTGCTGACACAGGCTCCTAGTGGTGCCATGCCCACGTCCTGGAGATTCTGTCTGAATCCCCTGGGCCCCGTTGGGACCAACCAGCCATGGAGCTGACGTGCAGGGGACTTGGTACCCCCCCCATTCACTCACTCAATAGGAAACCCCCACGAGGGCAGCCAGAGGGTGAGCACAAGTGCACCTCGATGGGCACAGGAGCAGGCGAGCCCCTGCCCTGGAGGTGCCCTGAGAGTGTCTGGCAGCTGGAGTCACCAGGGCTTTTTTAGTTTTTTAAGCTGTTGATAGACCTTTATTTATTTATTAATTGCTTATTTATGTGCAATTAATTATATGCTGAGAATCGAACCCAGGGCCTCACACATGCCAGACAAGTGCGCTACCACTGAGCCCCAGCCCCAGTCCTCCACCAGTGTTTTTTGTTTTGTTTTGTTTTTTAAATATTTATTTATTTTTTCGTTGTAGATGGACACAATATTTTATTTATTTATTTTTATGTGGTGTTGAGGATCAAACCCAGGGCCTCACAGGTGCTAGGCGAGCGCTCTACCCCTGAGCCCCAGCCCCAGCCCTCCACCAGGGTCATGACAGCTCACTGGATGGAGCCGGGCAGTAGCTTGTAGCGTAACCATATTCACAACAGCCCCAGAGAGCGAAGTGCAGAGCAGGGACAACAGAGTCCAGGAAAGGAAGCATCAGCAGTGGGGGAGAGCCAGTCCCTCAGAGCTTTGGCAGCTCACCAGAACTGCCAGTGACCAGAGGCTTGGATCCTCCAGAGAGCTCTGCCCTCTCAAGCACAGAGGCTTTGTTCAACCAAGGGTGGCATCCCTGGGTCATACTGGAGCTGGCTGGTGGATAGTCCACCGAAGAGATTTATTCTTGTGCTGTGAAAAGTGGACCAGTAGATGTAAGGTTTGGGCCAAGGCTGCCTGAGGAGCAGGGGTCCCCCTATCCACCCAGGATCCAGCTCCTGCCTACTCTCCTCACTCCAGTGTGCCACGGTCCAGGCAGTAGGGAACATCACTTGCCCAAGGGCAGAGACAGGAGGGCAGCTGGAGCAGGAGGAACCACTCTGCTGGTTGCCAGGGCTCCAGCTGCCTCTGATGCGGGTCCCCTCCTGCCTGCTGCCATGAGCGGGGCTGCCGGTGGCGCCATCCAGAGTACCCCCCACCATGTGCCTCTCACATGGCTCCACCCTCCCTGACCTGAAGGCCTCTGCCCTTCTGTCTCCAGCTGAAGGCTCGGGCCAGCTGTGGAGGGAGGTCCCTCTGGCCTGCCTAGCATTCCAGGATGGTTTGAGCCTCTGCTGCAAGAGCGGGCTAGCACAGTCCCCATCCACCTTGCTTCCCGAGGTTTGCTCACCTCCGCCCAGCCTGACATCAGGCCGCGTGCCTGTGATCATCCATGTGTCCTCAGTTCCCCACACCTCCCATCTTTCTCTTGCCACCCTTCTCCCTCCTTCCTGAGAAAAGTCTCTTCCTGCTTCCAGCCAGCCGGGGTCACCTTGGTCAGCATCCATTCCAGTCCCAACGACCAGATGCTGTGGGCCCTCGACAGCAGGTGGAACGTGCATGTCCGGACCGGGATCACCGAGGAGATGCCTGTGGGGACTGACTGGGAGCACGTGCCTGGTAGGAAGAAGCCATGAGACCATCCCAGTGTCCCACACGTGGCCACAGTCGTCAACCGACATGTTTGTGGCAGCTGCCCCACTCAGTGTTCTGTTTTGCCTCCGGTGTCCTGTTGGGCAGGTGACAGACAGGAATCTGCACCATACTCCATTAGCCAGGCATGACAACACACGCCTGTGATCTACTCAGGAGGCTGAGGCAGGAGGAGTGCAAGTTCAAGACCAGTCTAAGCAATTTAGCAAGATTCTGTCTCAGGATAAAAGATGATAAGGGCTGGGGATGCGACTCAGTGCTAGAACACCAACAGTTCAATCTCATCGCCGAAATAAAGACGCACTCCCTCCTTGGCAGACCCAGGCCACCTTCCTGGTGCTCTGGTAGCATGACAGCTTTCATACAGCCAGACCCTCTGTCCTTTGGCTTCAGGCGCTCGTGGCTTGGCTAGCCCCACAGTGGGCATCCTTTCCCTTGGTGCCCAGTGTGGAGCGGGCACTGTGTCCTGCAGGAAGTACTGGTAGACAAGGGCAGAACCCGGAAAGTGCCATGGTCAGGGAGGGGTGCCCCGTCCCATGCTCAGGTGCTGAGCAGGATGCCTGGTTTCCCACAGGGCTGCAGGCCTGCCAGCTGGCACTGAGCACAAGGACCGTGTGGGCCCGCTGTCCAGATGGTGACCTGGCCCGGCGCTACGGCATCACAGACAAAAACCCTGCTGGGGACTACTGGAAGAAAATTCCCGGAAATGCGTCCTGTTTCACAGGCAGGTGCCCAGGCAGGATCCTCGGACTCGTGTCAGAGGGGCTCTCAAAGAGGCTGCTCCCACCAGGCTCTGCACTCCCAAAGCCAGGACGGAGGGCGGGACGACTCGGGAGGGACTGAACCCGTGGGCTCTCTCAGGCTTCTGGGCCAGCACAGGGTACTTACTGTGTGCCCATGAAGCACAATTGGGGAAGTGGCTTGTCCAGGTCCCTGAGCTCACCTGTGCCCTTACCCCAGCCCTGTGATACAACAGTCTCTGCTTGCCTCTTGTCTTGCAGTGACCGCGTCTGATGAGCTGTGGGCAGTGGGCCCCCCAGGCTACCTCCTCCAGCGGCTGACTAAGACATTCAGCCGTTCACATGGCACCCAGAAGAACAGTCAGGTGGCCACCACCCACCCTGAGGACCTGGAGGATGAATGGGAGGTCATCTGAAGGAACTCTGGGCAGCCACTCAGGAGGGAGAATGCCAAGGTTCTTCAGTGGACACTGCTGATTTCCAAGTCACTCACTCGTCAATGCCTCATCAACCCTGCCCAGACACGTCTGTTCTCGTGGACGCCCCACACCTGCCTTCATCTATGTTGATTTCCATCTCATTCCAGCACCCAGCGCCTCAGCTGAGTGCCCGGAGCTGTTGCTGTAGCAGCAGCACCTCTGACCTCTTGCCAAAGTCACCTCCAAGCAGGTGCAATGGCTGTGGCCCCATTGCATGCACTAGTTCCCTGTGCTGAGGTCAAATTCTCCACACTCCAGGTCCTGTTTATGGGAGACAACGTGGGGAACAGGGCGAGTCTGAACCAGGATCCAGGGACACCTGTAGCCAGCACAGGCAACAGGGCACCCGGACTGTGTCCACGTGAGTAGTCCTGGGCTCAGTGCAGCTACAGGTCAGTGCCCTCCAACCTCTGGACGTGCCTGGTGATGGTGTCCTCTTCCTCACAGGGCCCCACTTCCTCCCTGAGAGGCAGGTTCCATTGCACACTGCCTGCTCCAGGAGGAACTTGGGGCCGTCCGTGTTGGGGAGAGGGCGCTGGCCGTGCAGGCTGAAGACACACACAGGCACACCACGCCTCACTGCTGCCTGCACGGCCAGCGGCAAACGCGCCTCACCAGACAGTGAGGGCTGCTGGGGGCCAGCTAGTGAGCGTCAGGCTCTGTCTCGGGCGGCCTGGCCCAGGAGTACCCTGGTCAGACGCAGGGGAGCTGAGCTGTGGTAGCTAGCTTAGAAATGTCCTTGGAGTGCTGTCAAATGCTGCTGGTGGATGTCACAAAGCCAGATATGTCCTCGGAGGACAGATCTCCAAGTTATTGCCTTTTTTGTTATATTACAAACCTGCATAAGATACCTCATTTGAAATCAAATCTTACAAATTTAGAAGAGAAGTGTATTTCTGGAGACAAGGGAGGGCCTTCTGTTCCTTCCAGAGGGTTAGCCTGAGCCTGTCCTGTCTTGGCTGGGGCTTCAGAGCAATGGCCATCCCCAGAATGTCCTTGACTGGCAGCCTGGCCTGGTGCCCGGGTAGGTGACACAGTGCCTGCTGTAGAGAGTTGCTGTGGCCTCCTCCTGGTGGTCTTTGTGGTCCACAGGCATCTTGAGTTTCAGGACGAGGCTGCTCCACCACGTGTCCACCCTGAGCCCGCCCCTGGCAGCTCCCAGCTGGACTCTCGGCTGGCTGCTACCCCACCTTGCCCAGGCTGGGGAGCCCCCACAGGTCTTGGGAAGGACCCCCCGGCAGCCATGGAGAGGGAGGCTTTTCAAATCTCAGCAGGAGATGCTGAAACCCACTTCACTTTTATAGAGCCCTTTTGTAAGAGTTTGGTGACTGTGGAGGCACCCCCAGGTGGGCTGCTCCTCTTCTGCATCTGTTGTGCCTTGCCGGCTCCGCCCGGATGGCAGCGCCCTCCTAAGCCCGTGGGACCTTAGTGCAATTAAACCCAAGTCTAGTTGATACTTTTAGACTACTTTTAGCTTCTGTGCTTTGCACAGTTTTATTTCTGGTTTTAATTTTAGTTGTGCTTTGAGATCGTGCAATAAACTAGACTTTTTCCAAACCTGGTCAGGTCTGATGCTTGAGCCGGGAGAAGGCGCGCTTAGGTATTTCCCAGGGATGTGCTGGGAGGCGCTCCAGCCCAGCCTCACTGGCAGGAGGGTGCTGCCTCCTGGCCTCGTGACCTGGTGGGTGTTGAAATGTGCACCAGCATGTCCAGGAGGTGTCACTGTGAAGGCTGCTCCAGAGCAGGATGCACCCAAGGTGGCCTGGGAAGGATGGCCCTAAAGTGGGGTGGGGCACAGGGATTCCCCTCTTGGAGCCAGGGGCAGGTTGTGGGGTTTCTGTGGACCCTGCCCTACTAGGAACTAACATCTGAAAAAAGACCACATCCAAGGTTCCAGGAAGCCACCTGAACAAGAAATGTCTGACCGGTGTCAAGAAACGGCCAGGCTTTAGAGACATCAGAGAAAACTTGTGTTAAAAGGAGACTTGTAGGGGCTGGGGTTGTGGGTCAGTGGTAGAACACTTGCCTAGCACGTGCAAGGCCCTGGATTCGATCCTCAGCACCCCATAAAAGTAAATGAAATAAAGGTATTGTGTCCAACTACAACTGAAAAAATAAATATTTAAGAAAAAAAAAAAAAAAAAGGAGACTTGTTTCATGCTCCAGAACAGGAGACCAAACATGAAATTTCTCCTCAGAGAAATTTGCAGGTACAGCTCATTTTCAGTAAGTTTCCTCCACATAACCAAAGTGCCCACACGGCCCCATGATGGCCAGGTGTGCTGCTAGGAGCTCGCAGCCTCTATTAGCCCTGTGAGACTCGGGATCCCGTTAACATGCTCACCTTCGTGTAGGGAGCTCAGGTGATTGATGCCACCTCACAAATAGGTGAGAACTGCAAAGAGCAGTGACCAGAGCCCCAGGAGGGCTGGCATGTCAAAGGGCCCACAGCACCATGCAGCCCAGATCCTCGGAGATGCAAGATGGAGGTGCCGCAGATGCGGGCAGGGGGGTTCACAGCTGATGTTGGCCACTGCTTAATTCTGGCAAAATAATAGTAAGTGGAAGAAAGAAATGGAGGAAGTCTCTGTCTTCTGAATGGCTTCTGAATAGAAATCATGACAAGGCCACGAAAGAAAGTCCACGTACAAATTTGATTTCTTCAAAATGCAAAGTCTAAATCAAAAATCCTGCACAGGACTGGAGATGTGGCTCAGTGATACAGCATCTGCCTGACATGGATGAGACCCTGCGTTCAATCCTCAGAGCACAAACCCAGAACAGGAGACCAAACATGATGTGGAGCCAGCCAACCTACACACCTCTCGTAAGTTAACGGGGAGCCAGGTGTGGTGGTCCACCCCTGTAATCCCAGCAACTCAGGAGACCGGGGCTGGGGGATTGCAGTTTGAGGCTTAACCTCAACAACTTGGCAAAGCCCTAAGCAACTTAGACCCCGTCTCAAAATGTGAAAAAGGGCCAGGGATGTGGCTCAGTGGTAAAACACCCCTGGGTTCAATCCCCAGCACCACAACAAACAAAAATCAAAGAGGGATGCAATGACAAGTAAGATCCTGAGGTGGAGTGTCTACCACAGGCCTTGTCCAAGCCCACGGGACAAACGCATCAGACACAAGCAGATGGAAGAGCACGTGTCGAAAGCACTCCCAAAGCTGGGCTCGGTGGCATTCGCCTGTAATCCCAGCGGCTCAGGAGGCTGAGGCAAGAGGATCGTGAGTTCAAAGCCAGCCTCAGCAAAAGCGAGGCACTAAGCAACTCAGTGAGACCCTGTCTCTAAATCAAATACAAGGGCTGGGGATGTGGCTCAAGCGGTAGCGCGCTCGCCTGGCATGCTTGCGGCCCGGGTTTGATCCTCGGCACCATATACAAACAAAGATGATGTGTCTGCCGAAAACTAAACAAATATTAAAAAATTCTCTCTCTCTCTCTCTCCTCTTTCTGAAAAAAAAAAAAAAAAAATCAAATACAAAATAGGGCTGGGGATGGGGCTCAGTGATCAGTGCCCCTAAGTTCAATCCACAGTACCTCCCCACCAAAAAAACACTGCCAAAGTCAGGCGTGGTACCACCGGGCAAGGACCCAAACGTGTCACCATGAACTCCACTTCTGGAAACCTGCACTCAAGAACACCAAGACATCCAGCACCCATTCCTCATAAGGAAGTTCTGAAAGCAGCCTGCGTTGGGGAGGGCCAGGCCACCTGAGCGCAGGCCCGGCGAAGTGTGGTGCGTGCTGGCAAGTGGCCCTCCTCACTGTGTCAGTGAAATCCCCTGTGTGGGTGCGATGGTTTTAAAAAGGAGATGAGAAGAGGGAGGAAGGTGACGACAGCATTGTGGAATGGTGCTCACTCTCCAACCTTCTGGCCGACTTGCGGCTTTTCCCAATTCCAGGGGAGAAAACTGGGGAAGAAACAGGTTCTATATGGGGACAAGAAATTGGTACAGTGGTTGCTTGTAAGCATATACCTTTTGTATCATTTGAATTTTGAGCCATGTAAATATTTTATTCCAAAAATAAATAAATTTACATTTTAAAAATTCAGTTATCTCTGGGCTGTGGTTGTGGCCCAGTGGTCAGCACGTGCCTAGCATGCGTGAAGCCCTGGGCTCAAGTCTCAGCACCACATATAAATAAATAAAATAAAGGTCCATTGACAACTAAAAAAATATTAAAAGAAAAAATATTTTCAAAAAAATTCAGGGGCTGGGGATGTGGCTCAAGCAGTAGCGCAGTTGCCTGGCATGCGAGCACCACAAAAATAAAATAAAGATGTTGTGTCCACCGAAATCTATTAAAAAAATTCTCTCTCTCTCTCTCAAAAAAAAAAATCAGCTATCTCTAACATCAACTTTTTCTTGTGGGGAGGGAGTGAACTCGGGCACTCGACCACTGAGCCACATCCCAGCCCTATTTTATATTTTTTTTAGAAATAGATAGGGTTCTCACTGAGTTGCTTAGCTTGCTGAGGCAAGCAGCTGGGATTACAGGCATGTGGCACTGCACCTGGCTACTAACATTAACCCTTTACTGTATCAATGCTAGTTGAGTCAAATATTAAAAAAAACCACCAAAGACTTCTTTAAAATCTTACTTACAGTTGGCACGTGCCTGTAATCCCAGCTGCTCTGGAGGATCACAAGTTTGAGGCCAGCTTCAGCAATTTAGCAAGGCCCTTAGCAACTTAATGATGCCCTATCTCAAAATTAAAAAAAAAAAAAGAAACACAAGAGTTGGGAATATAGCTCAGTTGTAAAGTGCCCCTGGGTTAAACCCTCAGTACAAAATGATAAATAAATTGTAGCCAAGTGTAGCATTACACACTTATAATTCCAGTGACTCAGGAAGCTAAGGCAGGAGGATTATAAATTCAAAGCCAGCCTGCACAATTGAGCAAAACCCTGTCTCATAAAGAACCGGGGCTGGGGTTGTGGCTCTGTGGTACAGCACTTGCCTTGTACATGTGAGGCACTGGGTTTGATTCTCAGCACCGCATATAAATAAATGAATAAAATAAAGGTCCATCAACATCTAAAAAAAATATTTATTAAGAAAAAAAAAAACTGGGATGCCGGGAGTAGAGTGACCCGCTCCTGTAATCCCAGTGGCTTGGGAGGCTGAGGCAGGAGGAACGTGAGTTCAAGACCAGCCTCAGCAACTTAGCAAGGCGGTAAGTAACTCAGTGAGACCCTTCTCCAAATAAAATACAAAAAGGAGCTGGGGAGGGCTGGGGATGTGGCTCAAGTGGTAGCGCGCTCGCCTGGCATGCGTGCGGCCCAGGTTCGATCCTCAGCACCACATACAAACAAAGATATGTTGTGTCCGCTGATAACTAAAAAATAAATATTAAAAAAAAAAAAGGAGCTGGGGATGTCGCTCAGTGGTTAAACACCCCTGAGTTCGATCTCCAGTACCAAAAAAAAAAAAGTAAAGAATGGGGGATGTAGCTTTACCTTGGGTGTGGCAGGCGCTTTAGAGAACCCCTTGAGTTCAAACTCCATCACCACAAAAACAAAAAACAAACAAAATCCCGTAAATCATAAACATGATGTCTGTCTACATAAAACTTAAAACTTTTGTACAGCTAAAATAACCATATCACCTTCAAAAAAAAAAAATGCACCAAGTATGTGTCAAAGGGCTAGTACCTTTAATACACAGTTCTGTTTTGTTTTTGTATTATTGGGGATTGAATTCTGGGGCACTCAACCACTGAGCTTCATTCCCAGTTCTTATTTTTGAGACAGGGACTCACCAAGTTGGCCAGACCAGCCTACAACTTTCCATCCTTCCTTAGCCTCCCAAGATGCTGAGATTAAGGCATGTGTCACGGCCCCTGGCTTGGTCACTGAACTCTTAATGAGCTGGGTTCAGGGCTCTTGGAACATTGCTGGGCACTTGGTCATACATACGGGGAGAGAGTAGTGACATTTAAGAAATAAACCAACAAACCAATGTGCTTCGTCACAGAGAATGAGGTTGTCAGTCACCTGCCACGGACCAAGAGCAGAGCTGCCATATGCCAAGGGCCTGGGCCTGGCTGGCTCTGACTCCCTCCAATCCTCTGGGTCTGCCAGGAATGACAACAGTGACAGATGCACCAGGGTCCTCACAGCCCTTCCTGGGTGTGGCAAGCCAAACTCTGGGGCCCCCTTCGCTCTCCCAGCAGCAGGCACCAGATAACCTTATCTGCCAGCACCACGTGAAGTTCTCTGCTCCACTGCAGGGTGGAGGGCTGGGCCAGGCCGGCTGCTGAGCTGTGCCAGGGTCAGGCTCCACTCTGGTCTGTGGCCTCCTGTGACTCCCTGTGCCCTTGCCTCGTCCACCCCAATCAGTGAACACTAAGGTGTCCTTGCCTCTACCCACTTGCCCATGTGGGCACAGGGGTCAACCAGTCACTCAGCAATGATGTGGCTGTCCCACAACTACTGTTACCCCACAGAGTACCTGAAACAAACCACCCTCCGGAGCCCTAGACCCTGCCCTGCACCTTCCTGCAGCTGGGGATTCCTGCCCATAATTCCTCCAGATGGCAGGATCCCATACCTGCCTCCTCCTGGTTGTCCCAATGGGTTCTATAGAGGGACCCTCCCCTAGGCCAGGGGTCCAAAGGTTGTCACTAAAGGAGGGGAAGTACAGGGACATCTAGCCCTGGACAGACTGACCCAGAGGACAACACCAGACAGGAGAGATGTGAAGTCTATACCCAATAGCTGTCCAGCTTTCTAGACAGAATGGCTGGGCTGACAGGCTCCCAAAAGCCTGACAGGCCCCACCCCAGCAGTCCTGCAGTCTATTGCTGTCCTTCAAAGGAAGAAAGTGAAAGTCCTCTGCAATGGCATCCTTATTGTGAGAACCAGGGAGCCTTGATGCCCTAGGCCTGGGGCTGGGCAGCTAGTATCCACTAAGTGCAGAGGTTCAAAGAGGCTGTTTAGCTGGTCCAGGGCACAACAGGAGGGGAGAAGACCCTCTCCAGTCTGGATCTGGGCTCAGAAGGTCGTGTGCCCTCTTCATCTTTCCCTCTCCATTCCCACTAGGACAGTATACCACCCACCCCACACTCCTGCACAATGGGGGAACATCCTTTTCAGGGTTGGCAATAAGCTGAGATGGTCCAAAATCCCTTGAAGACAGATGAGAAAACCAGGGCCCAGGGCAGAGGTTTTGTCCAAGGTCACCCTGAAAGTGGGTATTGGGTCTAGATCCCCAGGCAAGATCTGTTGTCTGGGCCTTCCCCGCCCTCCCTCCTAGACTCTGCCACCTGGCAGGCAGGCTCCCCTCAGGAACACTGGGTGCAGGGCAGGCAGCAGGTGCCCTGGCAGGACATCACAGCCCTCCAGCCCATGCAGACCCAGCAGGATTCCCCAGCCAGGCAGCCTGGCCACCCTGCCTGGTCCTGAGGCTCCTCAGGAGTGGTACATCTTCTCAGTCAGTCCCCTCATCCTGCAGGATGGCAGCACACTCACAGGGTAACAAATCTTCTTGGAGAAATCAGCTCTCCAGTCACGGGCAAGAAGCCTGCCCCTGGGGTGACACACCCACCCCTCCATCATCATGGACACCATCTAATGCCCACTCTGAGTGGGCCAGGGAGTCATCCCTGGACCAAGAGGAAAACACACCTAACCCCAGGAGGGGATAAGAAGCTGGGGGCCCCAGGCCTGGGGCCTACCAGGTACAATGGCTGAGCTGAGAAGCAGGAGCCCCAGGAAACTGCCTGCCAGTTGTGGGCAAAGAGCAAAAGGTGGTGACAGAGTCAGAGCCAGGCCTGGGTGGGCCAGCTATCAGTGGGAGATACAGGAAGCCAGTGACACCCAAGGGGCTCATGGCTAGAGTAGGGTGGGGATACAGGAAGGCACAGCCTGGGTCAGGCCTCTGCCAAGCTCCTGGCACAGCAGACTGCCCAGTCCTGCTTGTCCCCCGTCAACTGCAGGATCAGGTCCAGGCCCCACCAGAGAGTTCACTACAAGAGCCTCCTGTCATAACTCCCCACTGGGCCTGTCCTCTTGGCCTCCAGGCCTCGGCACATTCCGTCCCCCTGCTTGCACAAGTCAGTCCCTTCCCCCTGTGCCTGCTCAATTCCTGCTCAGCTCAGCAGCCACCCTCTTTGGGACATTCCCAGCTCCAGATCTGAGTGGGAGGCTGGTCCTCACCCCTTTGCAGAGCTAGGCAATGAGGGGAGTATATGACCGGAGCCCCACTTAGGCAGGAACATGGGGAGCTGGATCCAGCTGCACCCAGGAAACCTGGGAGCCTTGCCCCATGGCATGTGACAGATGAAGCAGATTCTCCTGTACAGAGATCAGTATATGTAAAGTGCAGGTACAATGCTCCGAAAAACAGTTCTGTCCCCAAATCCCGCACCCCCTGGGTCTAGCCCTTGCCAGTGAGGTCCAAGGGCTGCAGGAAGGGCGGCAGCGGCAGCTCATCCAGGGCCTCAGGGAAGCGGCCAGGAGAGATGGCGGTGACCAGCACCTGCATGGCACGTGCAAAGAGAGATGGCGGGGCCAGGCCTGCCAGCCACTGGAACTTGTCCTCACCCAGAAGCCGCTGCCAGCGCGGCCGGTCATCCAGCAGCTCCCGGCGGGCTGGGCCTGCGGCACCCACAGGGGTGTACAGCGCCAGTAGGTCAAGCAGTAGCAGGCGGCGCTGGCGTGGCTCCCCAGACACAGTGTTGGCGGCAGTGGCGGAAGAGGCAGCCCCAGCGGCAGGGACAGAGCCTGCATCACGGCCCAACTGGCGCAGCAGCAGCTCCAGTGGTGTGAGGCCACCACCATCACGGAGGCCAGGCGAGGCGCCGTGGCCCAGAAGCAGGAAGAGGCACTCGGGGCGCGCCAGCTCACAGGCCACGTGCAGCGAAGTGCCACCACCCTCCACGCGGCTACAGCCACGCCGGTCCAGCAGGCGCGCGCGCTCCTCAGCTGGGAAGTCGCGCACAGTGCGCAGGATGCGCCGCAGGATGCCCACGCGGTTGTAGCGCACAGCCAGCGGCACGTGAGGCCCAGGCGCCGCACAGCAGCGGAAGCCCGCGCTGGGTGGCGCAAGTGCGCGCCGCGGGAAAGTGGCCAGCAGGTAGTGTGCGTAGGCCTGGTGGTCGTGCACCAGCGCGTAGAGCAGCGCCTCCGAGGGTGAGTAGGCCGCGGCGCGCCCGCGCTCATCCCAGTGGAAGGCCTCGCTGGCGCGCATGTCCTCCAGGAGCCACACGGGAAGCAGGTCGCGCACCGCCTGGTAGAAGGCAAAAGACGACTTCCGGCATTGTTTCTGTGCCCGAGAGCGGGCTGCGCCGGCACCCTCAGGGCCACCGTCTGCACCGCCCCCAGGCCTTGCGTCCCAAGGCATGCTGGCAGCCTCAAGGCATGGGCCCCAGGACAGACCAACCTGCGGGCAAAGGGTGCAGTGAGGAGAGGGCTCCGGCTTCATCAAGACCCTCTGACGTGGGTTGTCCCATCTACCCCCATGGCCCCACTGGAGCCTTGAGCTTTCTGTCTGGGACTCTCCTACCTGCCTCCTGCCTCAGCCTGGCCCCTGCAGTCATTGCCCCTACCTATAGTCTCTCCTAGGCCCAAAACCCACAGCCTGCTTTCTTGATCTGGCAGCACCTGATCTCCCTCCCTGAAGTTTTTCTTGCTCTCTGGCACCCGCTAGAGAAACCCTAACCTGGTCAGCCCTTCAAAGTCTCCCACCCCTCTCCAGCCCGGAAACGGGGGGAAGAGCGCCTGTTCCCACCTCTGCCAGGTCCATAACCCCGAATAAGAAGCCAGGTAGTTGACAGGAAAACTCAGGCCCATATCTCAACCTGAGCCAAATCCATTTTCCGCCCCTAACTCCCCGACGACTCCAATCCCACCTCTGCTTTGATCTTGCCCTCGGACCCCTTACCACTGTCAGGCCCCCTGAGCCTCTTCCCAGGCTGATCAGACCTACCTGGTTCCTGACACACGATCACCAGGTTCCGTGATTGTCTTTCACCTTCCCTCAAGAAACCTCAGCTTCCTCATCTGTAGGAGAGGGAGTGGATTGTGGCCGGTTGTGGCTGGCTGTGAGCCCCAGCAGGGCGAGTGGGGGAGTGGCTCCGACCCTACATCTCCTCTGGGTCAGTGCCCCTGGGAGGAGGCAAAGGGTGAAGTCAACCTAGAGGCTGCACTTCAGTCTGCAGTCCCTCCCCTCCAGTTCGGCCGACGCCTTTCTGGATCTTCACACAGGATGCTGGTACTGCCACCCATTTACCAGCAGGGGACAAGCTTATCCAAGGTCAGTCACCAAGTCATGGTGGAAGCAGTTCCAATTTGGGCTCATTCCAACATGGTGAGGACCCCAGCCTGAACTCTGACCCTGCCTTCAATGCCCCAGCCCCTACCTGAGCCCCGCCCCCGGCCCCACCACCCTGGTGTCTTTGGGCAAGGGTAAGCCTTCGGTCAGGAGGGCTCTGGGGCAGCAGTCAGGCCACATCCACACACACTGGGTGGACCCCTCGCAGCAACTGGGCTACAGAGGTGGACACGGCGGGCTGGGCTGTGGCCATGTGCCCTCCTGGAGTCAGGGCCTCTGTGTCCCAGGTGCAATAAGTGGGCACGCGTGGGGCGCCAGGCGCGTTACGTAAAGTTCGGCGGCCCCACGTCACTGGGCAGAGTCACCGCCTCGGCTCCGCGACGGGGTTGGGCCCCAGGACAGCGCCGCGAGCCGGGCCGCCCGCCAGTTCCTCCCCGCCCTTCCCAGCGGGCACGACCCGACCTCGGCCGCAGCGGGTCACCCCCACGAGCCCAGTGTCTGCCGGCCGGTGGCGGGCGCGGTGAGGGTTTCACCGTGGCGTGCCGGGCAGGGCGGGGACCGCCGCCCGGGTTGCTAGCCGCGGGCGCGGGGGGACTCACCGCGAGGGACGGTGGGCCGAGCGTCCCGGTCCCTGCTGCGGGCTGGAGCGCGCGCCGTCCCCGTGCGGCAGGCAGGCGGAGGTCCCAGCACGGACCGCACGGGGGAGCCGCCGCCGCCGCCGCCCGCGCCCGCCGCAGCCGAGCTCTGGGTCGGGTAGCTGGGCGGCGGTGCCGGCGCCGGAGACGGGAGGGCAGCGGGCGGCGCAGTGCGGACCGGGCCGGCAGGACCGCGGGACTGCCCGCCGCCGCCATTGGCCCGCGCTGCGGGTCCCCGCCGCCGCCCATTGGCGGCCGCGCTGCACCATTGTTGCGTCACGGGCCGGAGGGCGGGGCGTACAGCCCGATCTGAGGAAAACTTCGGAGAAACTTGAGGGCGCGGGGGGCGGGGCCGGGGGCGGGGCTCAGGAACCCGGTTGCCCCCGAGGGACCGCCCGCGCCGGGCTGGGCACCTGGAGCCGCGCCCACGGGGCAAAGCCAGGGTCGAGGTGCTGGTAGGCACCCCGGCGCCCTCCGTGTGAGGCTCCCCTCGTGGCTCCGCGAGTCAAGTTCCAAGACTCCTTTGACCTGACTCTCGCCGACCTTGGGAAAACCCCCTATGGTCTGGGCCTGGGGTGGAAGCTGTGCCCCAAGGATTCCCATCGCGTGCTGCCCGTCGTCGTGGGAGTCGTAGCACAGCGAGCTCCAGGCTCATCTCCCAGGGAAGGGTCGGACCGAGGGTGTGGATGGGTGGATGGAGGGAGATGTGTGTGGCACCTGCGTCTGCCCTCCCTGTCTAAACACACTTGATTTCACTTTATCACAACCACCAGCCGCCAAGAATTTCCTGCTCAGAGAGAGAGCGGTAGCCTGCAAGGAGAGCCAGAAGGGAAGCCCTTGCTGTTCCTCAGACGCTTGTGAATTGGGCCCTGGCCCCCCAGCCTTCCCACAATGGGCCTGGGATTTGGGGTAATAGATTTGGAGGCTCAGGAGCCTAGAGTCCTGAGGTCCTGGGGTCCCAAAAGCACTAATTCATGCCTTCACACCCCAGTAGTTAGGAATTCTGGACCTTTATTTTTTAATTTTTTAGTTATACATGGGCACAATATCTTTATTTTGTTAATTTATTTTTATGTGGTGCTGAGGATAGAACCCAGGGTCTCATACATGTGGGGCGAGCACTCTACCACTGAGCCACAACCCAGCCCCACCTTTTTTTTTTAATACAATTTTTTAAACAATTTTTTTTAACTGGGGATTTGGAACCTGGGCATTCTACCACTGACCTACATTCCCAGCCCTTTTTACTTTCTATTTTGAGAAGGCAGGTTAAATTACTCAGGCTGGCCACAAACACGGGATCATCTTGATTGCCTGGGATTTCAGGCATGTGCCACCACAACTGGCCATTTTACAGACACTGAGAACCACAGACCCACAGTCCATGCAGGGATGCTGACAGGTCCTCACTAGAGCATCCCAGCACCTTCTCATACAGGGAGAAAGTTATTATCTTCATCCCAACCCTTTCTCCTGCCTCTGCTATGGAGAGAGGGATCCAGCCTACAGGGCAAAACTGAGCACACAGTCAGCCCTGCCCTGGCTCCTCTGTGTCACCCCAGGAAATTAGGACAAGACTAGAGGACCTGCCTGGGCCAGAGTCTCCTCTGAACAGACCCAAGCAGACCCCTACCACAGCACATGCCTGTCCATTCTCCTACACATATGATATGAACATACACAGGGCACACATGGGCTTCTCCTGTAGCACTGTGCCCTGGGAGGCAGACAAGGCTCTCAGACCAGAGAGAAGGCGGCCCAGTCCAACCTGGGGAAGACGGGCATCCATGTGCCCCAGGCTGCCATCTGTGTATGGTGGCTGCTGACAGCAGCAGCCCTGCCCCACCTCAGTACACTGGGACCCTGCAGACCATAGGAACTCTCTCAAGGGATCCATGGCATCCACTAAGTTTGAAGAAACTCTGTCTATGGCCAGGGGTGGGGTTATAGAGAGCACTAGGCTCGGAATCTGAGCCCTGCTTTTGCCCACCTCAGCTTTCAACAAGTTCTCACTCATTTATTTTAATTTTTTTGGTCCTGGAGATTGAACCCAGGAGCATTCTACCATTGAGCCACATCCTCAGCCCCTTTTTAAATTTCGAGACAGGTCTTGCCACATTGCCAAGGCTGACCTTGAGCTTGCAATCCTCCTACCTCAGCCCCCTGAGTCACTGGGATTACAGGTGTAGCCACTGTGTCCACCATCTCCTCCCCTTGTGAGGCCTCAGTCTCCCTAAGGTTTCTCCCAGCTTCCCCTGTTCTGAAGGTCTTTGAGAATGATGGAGGGCAAAATGAATGACCTTTGGGAGCCCCCAGACCCTTCAGGACATCCTAGGGAGGGGTCCCCAGGTGGGCAACCTTGGGCTCAAGACAGCTGTGCCCTTGTCCCCATTCTGCTCCTCCAGGGCTTGAGGTGAGACACAGCTGTCACATGGCTACTGGTGGACAGAGGCAAAAGGCCATGATTGTGGATGCCAGAATGTGCTCTTGGCTGGGTACACTTCCATGCTGTCCCTCTTTGCTCAGGTTCTCAGAGGACTCTTTCAAAAAAGTCAAGACTGACCCTGTTGCTCCACTGCCTTAGAAACATCGGACAGGCACGGACACTTAGCCTGAAACACCAGATGGGAGACACTTCTGTTAGGTCGGTGGCTGCCAGAACAAAGCAGTCCCCCGGGGAAAGGAACATCAATCAGGCGCCAGCGGATACGCCTGTCAATCACGAGATCTCCTAACACCTGTCAATTAGCAGGACCCCCTGGCCAATCCTGGAGTTCAGCCAACTCCCCTGACCCACTCCAACAAGGGACAAGGGACCCTAAAAACACCTTTTCCTGTCCCAAGCCCTTCCCTTCCTGCTGTAAGCCCCATAAAAGTGCAGTCTGGTTGAGCTTCCACGCGGTTTCTCCTCAGACCCTTCCCCTGTCCACTCTGTAGGTCAGAGTTCCACCCGGGAGGGATATCTCAATAAAGCCTCCTTCGGCGGCCTTTTAAAATCGGCCTCCTTTGGTCGCTGCCACCTCACCTGATCTGACAGGCACAGGTAGTGCAGGGCCTGGAGACAAGAAGGGAGGCTGCAGAGGTTGATGGGTGGACTGTTCCCTAGGGGTTTTATAAGCTGGGGCAAGGAGCTTGGGTTTAGTGTTCAGACAATAGTGGAGGTGGAAGGGACTTATTTTGTTATTGAATTCATTCATGAAAAGCACACAAATAATGACAAATGCCTGGAAGCCCATGATCCCAGTTAAGAGATACCATGGGACTAAATGTGAAGCCCTGGGTGGGCTGGGGCTGGGGCTCAGTGGTAGAGCACTTGCCTAGCATGTGTGAGGCCCTGGGTTCAAGCCTCAGCACCACATGTAAATAAATAAATAAAAATAAAGGTCCATCAACAACTAATTAAAATTAAAAAAAAAAAAACATGACGCCCTGGGCACCTGCTCTTTTCCTGCCACCCAGTGGCATTCCTGGCTGCATGGGTCTTTCTTATGGCCACATGGTGGCTGACATTGTAACTTTCTCCATCATGGTGGCAGACGTCCCTTATCCTCAGCAGCTTGCCTTTTCCTCCCAAGATCACTTCTATGACTCGAACATGTCCCCAGGGCGCATGCACTGGCAACTGAATCCCCAAATGCACCAGTGTTGAGAACTGGGGCCTCTAAGAGGCGACTGGGCCATAAGGCCCCCACCCCCAGAGAGCTTCAAGACAAAAGGATGAGTTCTTGATGGACCCAACCTGATCTTTTCTTAAAATTGGGCATCTCACCACAAAACCATGAAAAACGCAGCCCGGACGGTCGAAATAATAAGCTTGCTTTAATTTGATTTTAATTGGAGTCAGTGGTCTTTTCTTGCGTTCTGGTCTAACATTCTGTCCCCTTCCCTTCTCTGCCTTCCTTCCCTCCCCTCCTTCCTCCCCCTCTTCCCATCCTCAAGAATTCTAAGAAATCAATCTTTGGGGCTGCGTTGTGACTCAGCAGTAGAGGGCTTGCCTTGCAAGTGTGAGGCACTGGGTTCGACCCACAGCACTACATAAAAATAAATAGACAAAGGCATGCTGTCCATCTACAATTAAAAATAAATAAAAAAGAAAGAAGTCAATCTTTGTTCCCTGTAACAGATGTTCTATTACAGAGGCAGATCCATCCTCAGGGCACCTGTGACTGCTGAGTCCTGGTCTCCCTGAGAAAGCTGTCCCCTGCTCCCAGCAATGCCTTGAACATCCCCGCCTACACCTCCTGGGGGGTGTGGCCAGCAGGCTATCCCCATCCACAGCTGTCTCAAAAGCCCTCCAAGGCTGCCCAGGGGACAGTGTGGACGGCCGTTAATGGGCAGACTCCTAAA